GCCTCAGCAGGTAGCGTCTGCTCTGACCCTTCCTGTACAGAGCATCAGTGTTGTGGCTCCAGTCCAGTTTATTCAGGTGAACACCCAGGTACCTATAAGAGTCCACTATCTCAATGTCCACTCCCTGGATGTTCACCGGTGTTAGTGTGGTGGGTCTGCGTCTCTGGAAGTCCACCACCAACTCCTTGGTTTTTCCGGCACCAGTCCACAAAGAGTCCACTGTCTGTACTCTGAGTCGTCCTCACCTGTGATGAGGCGACTATGGCAGAGTCGTCAGAGAACTTCTGTAGGTGGCAGCGTGGGGAGTTGATGGAGAAGTCTGCAGTGTAGAGGGTGAAGAGGAACGGTGCTAGCACAGCAGACCAGCGACACAGCCCTGTGACCTCACAGGCATCCTAAGATGCCACACAGTTCATCTGCGCAGCATCTCAGGAGCCTGGAGCTGACGCCATCTGGACCTGCAGCCTTCTGCACCTTGATCTTGCGAAGCTCATTCCTCACTTGAAGTGCTGAGATGGAGAGAGGGGGTTTCGGGGGAGGGCGGTGTATGTTGGAGTCCACAGAAGCCGGGGGTGGGTGTGATGGCTGGGAGCTGGGTTGTGAAGTCCTGATATGAAAGACAGGCAGCGCCTGAAGATGAGGGAGATTGCAGCAGGGGGACGATCCTGGGGGGAGGGGTGGGTGGTTGATCAAACCTATTAAAATATTTATTGAGGTCATTCACCCACCCCAAGTCTCCTGCAGCCTGGTGCAGAGGTTGTCCCACACAGTGGAACAGAAACAATCCCTCAGGGCCTCTTCAGTCTCTCCCGACCATTTCCTCACTGTGCGTTTAACAACTGGTTCTCTGTGTACCAGAGGTTTATACACAGGCTGGAGACGAACCAGGTTGTGATCTGAGCCCCCCAGGGGAGGGAGAGATGATGAGCTGCCTCCTTGGTGTTAGCATACAATAAGTCCAATGTTTTATTGTCTCTGGTGTGGCAGGTGACATACTGGGTGAAGGTGGGGAGAGTGGAGGACAGGGAGATGTGATTAAAGATCAGGAAAAGGGCCTGAGGGTGCTGTGTTTGGAGTCTGCTGGTTACAGAGTCCCGGACCCAACGCTGCTGCAGCACTAGCAGCCTGTGAGATTTCAGTTTCAGAATACTTTATTGATGGAAATTATGTAGGAATTCAGGAGGTTTAGTAACATGCTCCTCTGAACATTTACTTGGACAAAAGCAACTGTCGGAAGTGGGATTTGAACCCACACCTCCAGGGGAGACGGCAGCCTAAACTCAGCGCTTTAGACCGCTTGGCCATCCTGACTATTTGCTTCAACTATAGCTTATCTATGATAACATGCATCATAAATGATGCATTTTGGTGTGTGCGTTCTGCAGTATTGTGCTTTAAAACCGGGTATACCTTTTGTAACCTGTAGTTGTTTCACGTGACATTTTGACCTCAGTTTTATTTGTTTTGTGTGGATGTCTTTGACCGAGTGCAGAAGCTTGATGGTATAAAACCTGGAGATGCTGGGGATCGAACCCAGGACCTCATACATGCAAAGCATGCGCTCTACCACTGAGCTACATCCCCACTGCGAGTCAGTGTGAGTCTGTGTGGTCTGTTTGGTGCTGCAGTACACTAACACCAGGCTTAAAACTTACCAGAACTTCTTAAACTGAAATATAAGTTTGAGAACATGTATCAGAACCTGGAGGTGGTTTTCAAACTGCTGCATCTGCTGAAGAAATAATCTGTTTGGAAACCCTGTACAGACTGACACACAGGCACTGAGGAAAGGGACCGAAGAAGCAGTCAGGGATTCCCCGTCCCACCAGGAGCAGCACCCAGCTGGCCCTCTGAAATAAAACCATCAGTCTACACTCTGTCTGTGCAGCTGTATATATGTGCTGTTGCTCGTCACCTGATCCACAGAGTCCGATTACAGCGTTACCTGCATACACAGTTGCATGATGGTATAAAGCAGCCGAAACAGGACACTCCACCACTGTCGGCACAGGACAGTCTGTGGGAAACACGGCTGAGCTCAGAGATGTTCACAACTTCAGGAGCGAAACTGAGCCCAATCAAGAGACTCGTTCAGTTAAAAACAAACAAAATGTTATGCATAATTTTAATGCTTTATTTATCAAGAACATAAGTCTCAATTTCAGGATTTACTGACAAGCTGCCAACTGCTGAACCGACATTTATCAGCTTTTCACTTTCTGCTGCTCCCCGTACTATTTTGAGGCAAATATTTGAGTTATCTGCCGGTGTCAATTACTAGTTTCTATGCAGATTCAAATTTACTGTAAACTGTTTTTCCAGAGAACTGTTTCTGTAATAAACACCCATCGTATAAATGTGAGATGACACCAGCCGCTGACTGCAGAGCAGATGAGGTGGATTCCTGAGGTTCACGCTTTATATGCAACAGATGAGCAGATGGGAGTGAATCCAGACACGCTGCCAGAGAAAGCAGCAGCAAAATAAAACATCCTTTTCTGTTTACGGGAATAAAGCAGTTATCCCAGGCGCTTCTTACAGGAGCACAGAGCTGACCCGAGGGGATGGACTCTGCTGGCACGTCCCCCTGAAGCCAGAGTGCAAATTTATTCACTGCTGCTCAAGGTGAAAGAAAACAATAGTGCCTGATTAGGACAACTGCAGCTCCCGTGAGGCTTCGTTTCAGTGTAATTTACTTTTTTGCCCTTGTTTTACTGAGACTCCTTCTTTATGAGAAGATATCGGAATTGAAAAAGAGTCTAAACATCTCTGTATTGTAACTTTTTCATAATCCTGGAGGCGTTTTTACTGATCTTTGCAGCTCCTTTCTGCTTCTGCTGCAGTTCCTCTAGTGTCCACTTGAGGCTCCAAAACGCTTCACTCCTCATAGACTCCTGTGTTAATGTTGTTTCAAGAGTTTCAGACTTTCCTTTTTGGTAAAGCTTATATTTGTTATGGCTGTCGTTCTGTTTGAATCTTCATGTAGTACGGTACCTTAAATATGTATGTTACCGTTTTTAAAAATCTTGTTCTGTCTCTTTCTCATTTCATCGCTCTTGGCTTTTGTTTCGTAGTTAGTTTGTACACTATATTACCAAAATCGCTCGTCTGCTATCACATGCATGTGAACCTGAGGGACATCCTGACTTAATCTATAGGGTGCAATTGGATTTTGACCCAGTCTTTGCAGCCATAACAGCCTCAACTCTTCTGGAAAGACTTTTCAGGGGTGTGTTTATGGCAATTTTTGACCTTCCTTCCAGAAGTGCATTTGTGAGGCCAAGCGCAGGTGTTGGATGAGTAGGCCTGGGTCAGAGGCTTCTAATTCATCCCAAAGGTGTTCTGTCAGGTTAAGGTCAGGAGTCTGTGCAGGCCTGTCAAGTTCTTCCACACTAAACTCGCTTATCTTTGTCTTTGTGGACCTTCCTTTGTTCACTGATGCACATTCATGTATGAAGAGTTGGCAGCATGAAATGATCTAAAATGTCTTGCACCAAACTTTACACTTAGCACAGTGTAGTCAGACATGTACCATTCTTCCTGGCACCCACCAAACGCAGACTCACCCATCAGATTGAGACAGAGATCAGACAGAGAAGTGTGATTCATCCTCTAAGAGAACAAGTGTCCACTGTAGAAAGTTAGTGACCGC